AAAATGGTCAGTGTCTCTAGCAATTAGATAACTACAAATCAAAACTACTCTAAGATTTCATCTCACACCAGTCAGAATGGTAGTAATCAGGCATACAAACAACAATAAGTGTTGCTGAGGATGTGGGGGAAAAGGCACATTCATACATTGCTGGTAGGACTGCAAATTGGTGCAACCACTCTGGAAAGCAGTATGAAGATAACTTGGAAAATTTGGAAGGCAACCACCATTTGATCCAGCTGTCCCACTCCTCAATCTATACCCAAAGGACTTAAAATCAACATACTATAGTAATGCAGCCACATCAATGTTTATAGCAGTTCTTTTCACAATGGCTAAACTGTGGAAGCAACCTAGATTCCCTTCAATAGATGAACGAATGAATAAAGAAACTGTGATACATATACACAATAGAATATTACTCAGCATTAAAAGAGAATAAAATTATGGCATTTGAAGGTAAATGGATGGAATTTGAGAATATCATGCTAAGCAAAATATGCCAATCTCAAAAAAAAAAAAAAACAGGGGCCAAATATTTTCTCTAATAAGTGGATGCTAATCTATATAGGGGGTACACGGAATGAGTGGAGGAACTTTGAATGGGGCAAAGAGGAGGAGGGGAAGGAGGGGACAAAAGGGTAGGAAAGATGGTTGGATGAGACAGACATCATTACTCTAAGAACATGTATGATTGCACGAATGGTGTGACTCCACTTTATGCACAACCAAGGGAAGTGAAAAATTCTGCTCCACTTGTGTATGATGAATTGAAGAGCTTTCTACTGCCATGTGTAACGGATTAGCCTTAATAAATTAAAAAACACTATAGCAAACATCTTTATTAATGGTAGATTATTAAAAATTTTCCTTGAGATCAGGAATGAATCAATGATTATCATATCAGCAATTCTACTTACCAGTTATGGAGTAGCTAAGAAGTGTAATGATACAATAAAGAATAGGCATAAAGATTAAAAAGGAAGAAAGCTATTATTTGTAGATGACATACTTTTCTACAAAGAAAACAAGAGAACTGAGAGCCACACTACTAGAATCACTAAGTGAGTTTGACAGTCACTGAATAGAAAGTCAATACAAGAATAATCAATAGAATCTGGGCATATCAGGCACAAATGAATTAAAAGTAAAATCCTTAAACAATGATACTATTTGAAAAAGCATAAAATACATGAAACATTTGAGGAGAAAACAAAAGTTATGCAAGAATGCTACTCTGCAATAAAGAAAATTTACTGGAAAAAAGTTTGAAATGACAGTACATAGAGAGATAACCAAGTATATAGGTTTAAAGACTCAAAATCATCTCTAGACTTATTGCAATTCCAATTAATATACTAAAAAGTTTATTCATGAAATTCAACAAGTTTGTCCTAAAATTTCTATGCAAACTCAAGTGACTAATAATATGCAATGAACTCTTGACAATTACTGAAACTAAAGAATTCACATTATGAGATCTCAAGACCTATTTTAAATTCATGCTTATCATTCAGCATGCTATAGACCAAGCCAATTGACCAATAGAACAGAATAACCCATAAATAGACTCACATATAGTCTCTGTCTCATATCAATGGTGACATTTCTGTATAATGACTCATATAGTCATTCAGACATCCATATGGTAAATAATGAATATTTGTCTGTATAGCATTCCATGTACACACAAATCTCAGAGAGATTGTAGATTTAAAGGTGAGAGATAAAGCAATAAGTCTTCTAGAAGAAAACATATGAGACTATGTTATGACACTGGGATAAAGAAAATTTTCTTGATTTTTTACACAAAACACAAACAAAAGATGTAGAAAAATATGACAAATTAGATTATACTGCAATTAAAATTTTCTAAAAAGATAATTAGTAAAAGATAAAAAATACAACACACAGGGGAGATATTTACTCTGCGTATTTATGCATCTGACAAAGAAGTCATGTTCAAAATAAAGGTTTCCTACAAATTATTTGAAATAGAGATTATTAAACTAGAATAAAAGTTATAAAAAGTCTTGAATAGGCACTTCACAAATGAAAATATCCAAGTGGCATATACCTATATGAAAGGTGAATCAAGTAACTGACAAAGAAATGCAAATTGAAATCTCAATGCGGTACCCTACTCACCTACCCACGTATATTAAAAGTTAAACACAATCAAGTATTGTTTAAAATTTAGGGAAACTAGAATTTTTATGCTTTCCTGGTTTGAGTGTAAACCAGTACAAATAATTTGCAAAACTACTTGGAAATCAAAATCAAATAAACGAAGGACTGTTGATGTCACTGGGAAGTAATTAGGATTGGATAGCATTAAAAAGATATGAAGACATCTTTAAAGCTTTCCTTTTTCTTAAAAAAAGGACACAATTTTACAAAGTCATCTCTTTCGCATCATTTTTACTGGTTATTATTACATATAAAGATCAAGCCTAAATACTGATTATGTAAAATTCTATGCAATCCTTGAAACCCTGAAGGAGTCTTTCTGCAACCCGCCACCCTAGCACCTGAAAACCCTCCAAGTAAAAAAAATAGAGCAAACAAAAATAATTGCCACTTAAACTGATGTCACTTGACTGATTATTGTTCCAAGTGCAGATTTCCTTTAAAAGCACTTCTTTTCACCTCTAAGAAAAATATTTCTTCACTTTATAATTTCTATGCAAATCTTAAGACACATTTTCATTCTATTACTCTAGGCACTGCAAAGCGGACAAAACAACATGTTGGGTAATCTGTGCTCTATCCTGGGAGAAGCAGGCCAAAAGAAATATTACTTGGGGCTGGGGATGTGGCTCAAGCGGTATCGCGCTCGCCTGGCATACGTGCGGCCTGGGTTCCATCCTCAGCACCACATACCAACAAAGATGTTGTGTCTGCCGAGAACTAAAAAATAAATATTAAAAATTCTCTCTCTCCTCTCTCACTCTCTCTTTAAAAGAAAAGAAATATTACTTATGTACCTTAATAAGAAGTATATTTGAGATATTTACATTTCTTTTTCAGTAAAATTTATATAATAATTTAAGTTTTGATGATAAGTTTTTGGGGGACAGTGGGATAATTTAGGAAAATATAACTGCACTACACCGAGACAGCAGTTGACTTCCCAATGTTCACATTTATCCTTGATATGAAAAAACACTATGATAATTTTATTGTAATGGTTGAAATTCTAACAGTATTTTGGTGGCCTATTTCTCATAACAAATTATCAAAACATTCAGAAGATCAAAAAAATCAAACAGACATGTATCATCTCTCACTCTCTTATGAGGTTGCAGTCAAGCTATTGAACAGGGTTGTTATCATCTCACAGCTTTTCTGAGGTGAGAGAATCTGCTTCCAGACTCACTCAACTGGCTGTTGGCAGCTTTCCATTCCTGGCTGGTTTTTGGCCTGAGGCTTCAGTTGCTGCCATGTAGAACAATCCATAAGGTTGTTCACAACATGACAGCTTGTTTTCCAAGAGTGATCCAACAGAATGAGAAAACAAGAAAATCGATGCTGGAGTTCCTTATGTTAATAATCTTAGAGTGACATATCATCACTTTGGCAGAATGCCACTGTTTACATGAACTAGCCTTTTGTACACTGTGGGAGGGGACCACTCAAAAATGTAAAATGGGGATTTTGGGGGGGTCATCTTAGAAGCTGGCTCCCACAAACAATAATAATTGATTTATTTTATCTTATATTTGCTTATAGTAATTGAACATGTTTGTATTTGTGCCTTTAAGTGTATTAATTCACATACCATATTAGATAAGTATTGTAGTTCAATTTTTTTCAGATAAGATCAATAAACATTTTAAAGGCCAAATGATACACATTATAATAGCATTATATTTATTATTGTTATAAAATATAATAATCTGGTTGTTTCTGTTTTACAATGGTATAAATAAAAATGAAGCAAGAGTTACAAAGATTCTAAAGGAAATCTTGTTTTCTTGACAAAATAAAATTAAGCCATTATTTCAGCTATCATTTCAAAGTAACCATACCATATAAGAACCATTTTTCTTTTCTTCTTCTTCTCCTTCTCCTTCTCCTTTTCCTTCTCCTCTTTTTTCTTCTTCTTTACCAGAGATTGAACCCTGGAGTGCGCAATCACTGAGCACATCCACATTCCTTTTTTAAATTTTTTATTCTGAGACAGGGTCTCACCAAGTTCCTTGGAACCTTGCTAAGTTGCTGAGGCTCACTTTGAAATGAATTTGCAATCCTCTTGCCTCTGCCTCCAGAGCCACTGGGACCATTTTTTAATATCTACAAAGTATTGGTTATTTTTATTTGATAGTATATATAAATAAAATATCTATAAATAAAATAGCTGTGTATTTTCTCCCTTCATCTTTGATTTCTTTTTCACTAGAATTGAGAAAATTATCATACCCTGCCCTCATTTTTATTGAAGATTTTGTTTAAATCTATGAGTGTATTCAATTACATAACATCCTCCTATTTCCTAATGTACATCTTCTTAACATTTTAAGTATATAGAAAATGCAGTAGGGTTCTTCAAGGAGAACATTTCAACTCATTTTTATCTATGTATAAAAAGAAACTAATGAGTAGATATTAGACATTGTTAAGCCTCTATCATTTTGAAACCGTGAATTTTCTCTTAGAATGCTACCATTTCTTTTTTTTTTTTTTCCTTTAAATCTAATTTTATTCCTAAAGTTGAAATTAGCTAGCAGGTAGCACTAAAAATACACCTTCACTATACAAAACAGTGTAAACTGATTACACATTAACAAAAAGTCAAGCACACACACTTCTAATGTAAGAAGCTAGGCACAGCATAAAAAGCTGCACCTAAACAAAAATGGACATGTTTCATCTAAGGCCCTGTCAGTTGTTCCCAATTATGTTTAAACCCAGAAATGGCAATAATGTGGAAACTTACATTCATCAAATATTAGCATTTAAAATATACATGACTAATAAACTGAACATTTAACGGGGCCGCTGCTTAGCACGTTCCACATGAGCCACTGTGGACAGTGAGCTCACCTCACCCAAAGAGAACAGAAGTTTCCAACATAGGATCAAAGGGAAATAAGAATGGGGTAAGTATTGGCCAGAGAGCAGGAGCTGATGCCCAACAGTCCGACTTCAACAACTAGCGCTCACGAGGGACATGTGACAGAACCCCGTAAAACCTAGGAAGCTCGTGATCGCAGGCAGGCTCATGGCACGGACCAATGTTTCTTCATCTTAGGATGAAACTTTATGCCCCCAATAAGTAGTGAAAATAATTTTTAAAAATAGCTTCTGCCTTTGAACAGTAAGTTTCCAGTCCCTTCTGTGCAATGAAATGTTTGGGATGGAGTCTGGGGGTGCGTGTCCCACTGGGGAGAACCTTGGTTTCAGGACTTGAACACGTGCACAGCTCGCACCACGTACTGGCGGCAGATGGGACACTCACTCATGCGCTTGCCGCACTTGGTGCTGGTGACCATGTGCCCACATTCCAGTAGGACACAATCGATGACAGCATCCATGCAGATGCGGCACAGACTGTCGTCTTCCTCGTCCTGCAGCTGTAGCCGCTCACCATATGACTTTTGGTTTTCTTCATTCTCTTTGTATAACCGGTTAACTTTCTCTACCAGTTCCCATTTTTCACAACAGCCAGAATAGTTGACAAAATTCCGAGCCAGGATTTCCTTCAGCTGGCGCACACTCATCCCCTCCACCTCTTCAAGGCTTGACAGGTCAGACAGCGAAGTTCTCACTCGCTTCTTGGAGAGCCCAAGGGTCCGATCCTGCAAATTTTCTTCTTCTTCTTCATCATCCTCATCATCGTCATCATCATCATCATCATCTTCTGTGTTTGCTGAAGCTATTTCACTTTGTACCTGTGCCAGTGCTCCAGATCTGGAGGTGCCGTCTCCATCCATAAGCTCCCCCTGAAAGGAAGACACGGTAGCAGAAGGGGCGGTGTAGTTTGAAAAAAATGACTGTGTAAAAAAGCTAGAAGTCTGGGACTGTGAAGAATTCAGACTGCTTGTGTCCAGGTCATCCTCAGAGCCTAGTCCATGGTGGCACAGTACTAGATCTACCAAGTCTTCCTTCTCTCGACAAGTATCTATTGGTATGTTTCTAAGAATGAGATACTGCCGAAGATCCTTCACTTTTAGTCCCATCAACTGAGGGCGCTGGAAGGCAGTCTCTTGTAATAAGTGACAAGTAGAACATCTACGGTGATTTTCTTGCGGGACTGAACAAACGGAGCAAAAATCCTTCTTGCAGTCACAACACACATGCTTCTTTCTAAAGACTGAAAATGAAAGTCCACAGGCTTTGCAAACTATATTAGGCCCTTCCGGAGTTGCTGGTGGGTAGGTGGAAAAATCAGAGTTTGGTGTAAATCTGAAAGGACCAGTGCCTCCTGCAAATCCTGACTGCTGGCCCCTGACAGCTCCGGTTCCCATGACTTCATTCAGCAGCCCACAGCACGAAGCCCACATAGATGTGGCACCCGCCTTCATGGCAGCGAATGCCTTGGCTCGGTCGGCGATACCGGGGAACTCAACACCATAGCAGCTCCTGGAACAGCCGACCTCCTTCCTTACCATTTCTTTTTATGTGCTAAAACAAACCATTTCTTCCTATTCACCAGCATTTTTTAATATTAAATTGTTTTAAAACAATTCACATTAAAATCTCTGTTTAAGTGTTTACAATACTGACATAAGGTCCAAGGGAATCCAGAGAACCTCTGATAGACATAGGGATAAAGTTGAAATTCAGAAAACTGATATCACAAGCTGAGTACAGGAGCTTACCATTGCTCATACTGCTTTCCTACTGTTTTATTCATTTCATGTCATTTTTGTTTCATTTCACTCATTAAGAATTAATGAACATCTCTTTAAAGAACATGCAACATTTAAGTAACAACACTTATATTAATGTCACTTTAATATTCTTTCCATATCTTGCTCATTCTATTGAAAACAATCAGAGTTCACTTTTCAATATAAACATTAGGATTTGTTCTATGCTCTACAACATTATGTTAGCATTAAATGACAAGAAAACTGGAAGTACAGCCCAAAGAACTCTGTGCAGGGTTATTAAGCAGAACATATTTTAGCTACATTGTAAATGCATGAGTCAATTATAAGCCATTTTAATAATCTTTATGTTATTCAAATTTCTAGTAAGATTAATAAAAACCATAACTATGAGGGATTTTGAATGTCTAATTTCTCAAAAAAGGAGGGTTTGATAACTATCTTAATTATTTGGAAAGAATCAATAATAAGTAGTAAAGCTCTCAGACTAGAATGGCCTGTAATACTGTATTTCAGTTGTCAATGTTTCTTACTTTACCAGCACCACATTATTCAAGATGGAGGCTTCTGCAGTCTAGTTTTTCTAGTCCACTCAACTTTCACATATAAGGCCTAAACAAAATCTCAGAGTGGTTCTGTGAACCCCATGAAACAAAGAAACTGAGGACAGAGGACACTGTAGTTTCCATGAAGGAGTTAATTATCAATCGAGTTAGTTGAGAAATTGTTCTTGGTTATCATAAAGACATATGTAGGAGTATATAATAAAATATGCTTTCCACATATAAAATATACTATAAAAATTGATGGTGGAAATATAAAAATTAACCTAAATTTACGAAAGACAAATTTGTTTTTATATCAAGAAGTTTAAAATTTGATATGTGTACCTGTTTTAAAAAATAAGACAGACACTATCTCAAAATAATTGATTTTGCAATGGTAAAACTAAAATAATACATAAAATTTTTGTTTCCATATGTTGGAATATTTTTGTCACTATACCAATCTTATCAGTTAATATTTAATTATTTGCTAAAATGATAATACTATGGGGATATTAATTCATAAATGGTAGGTTTAATTTTTGTTTAAAATAAGATTGGGGCTGGGTGCAGTGGCTCATGCCTATAATTCCAGCCTCTTGGGAGGCTGAGGCACGAGGATTGTGGGTTCAAAGCCAGCCTCAGTAAAAGTGAGGTGCTAAGCAACCTAGACCCTATCTCTAAATAAAATACAAAATAAGGCTGAGGATGTGCCTCAGTGGCTCAGTGCCCCTGAGTTCAATCCTTAGTACCAAAAATAAAAAGTTTAAAAAAATACTACAGTTTAAACAAAATGATAAGATTAGAATACACTAAATGTCTATGTGTGTGTGTTTGTGTGTGTGTATATGTGTGTGTGTATATACATATATGTGTGTGTGTGTGTGTATATATATATGTATATATATATATATATAATTTATGGAAGGATACATACCAAATTTTCAGTAGTAGCCAGTTCAGGCTTATGAGATAAATGCTTTTTAGCTTATTTTTAAAAATATATTATTCTTCAAGTTTTAAAAAATGAGTACTGTCATAAAGAAAACAAAACAAAAACAAATAGGTGTTAACCTATTATGGATATTCCAGTACTTATTACAGTATCTTCTTACGTTCTGATATTATCCTTACCACTGAAGTTTCAATCTGCATCCATTACTGTCCAGATCATCCTAAATATGCACCTATTGAAATACTACTGATCCACCCAAGGAAACCTAATTCAACACTTTCTTTCAATCTGATATTATCAGCAATTGTTCCTTTATAATTTTTCCTAAATTTCTTCCCAGTAGGTAAGTCTTGTTCTCAGGTTGGTTCTTGTAACTTAGCTCTCTGATTTAAGATTTTAGGAATGTTTTTCTATTAAATCAGTCTGTCTCTAACCACATTTACTCTGATATTTACAGATAACAACACACTTGCTATAAATAGTTTATTCTGTTTTAATTCTTTGTCTTCATATGAGTTTTCCAGAAGGACAAGTAATTCTGTATTTCCACAAGCGTACATGTGTGTATACACACACACACACACACACACACACACACACATACAAATGCATAAAGGATTGGACTAGTCATTTAATTTCCACAGTGTGGGCAATTTGAGATTAGGGAATCATGTGAATCTAAATCTTAATTTGAAACAGTTTTATCCCTCCTACATACATTCATTCTCTACAAGATTTTATATTTAACTTCCAAGTGGCCAGATTGGGATGCCAGTGTAAATATCTTTAATATCTACAATTCTTACCTACTTTATATTCAAAAGCCAAATTGACCTAAAAATTAATGTTTCCATGTTCACTGCCTGAGACCTATTTTCAATATGGTTATTTGGCCACACAATTGGGTAGGATCAAGGCTGAGCTAGTCACTATTGTTGTAGTAGGACTATAATGGAAACAAGAGTATATTTAATTCTATATCCTGATCAAATGAATTTCAAATCATCTAGAGTGTGTATACTACCTATTAAATTGACAAATTTCCCTTAGATGTATGGAATGAATCCATACATAGCTATGTATAGCTATGAAAATATAATCTGTCCTTCAGTTAATAGGGATTTTGGAGAGATGTAAATGCAAAATTAACAAGCATTTATTAACATCATTTGTGGAGTATATGATTTAGAAAAACTGCTCCTGCCTAGCCCATAGTCTACTAAAATTTTTCTAATGAAGAAAACATCTGGAAGAACTCATTTATCATCATGACCTTATGAAAAATGGCAATCCCGGAAAATGAACTTCCAAGGAAAGTTTTTTTCTATTCATTAAAGAGTGACTTCTATGATTTTTAACAAAAGAACACTGCATCACTTTTTTCAACCCAAGTAATTTGAAGAGTTGAAGGTGATACTATCCCTTATTAAATTTCCTTGGGACTATAATGTCACGGCCCTGACGAAACACACAGAAGAAATTCTGAAACTATTTAGATAAGGGCAGTAAGTGAGATAAATAAAGGGGGAAAGTACTGGGGATTGAATTGGAGCAGGCCGAGTTTAATATCTTTGTGATAATGTCAGGTGTTGTATATAACTAAAAAGAATAGATAAAAACATAAAAGAAAATTTTCTTTTCAGCTCTTTAATTAACAACATGTTAGTAGGCAACTGAAATATAATTTTGGAACACATCAACACCTTTAACCCTATGAGAGCAGAAAGTAATTAGACCTAAATTGGATATGACCCTCCCCTTTCTTCAGAGAATGAAAGGTCACAGAGATTGAGGTAGACTGAGAGAGAAGTGATCTGGATCTCTAGCTCTTACATATAACCAGATTTATGAAGACAAAAATCACAAGTTACCATTAGCTACAATGATTTAATATCTTATAACATTCAATACTTTGTCAAGAGTTAATAGATTAAAAACAGTTTTAAAGTTTCAAATAGATTATATGCTACAAATATGTTATTTGCAAAAGTATTTCTCCAGTAAAGAAACATTATAAATGATGAGTAGGTCCCCAGTGCCATCAATGCAAGCCTATTTGAACCACAATGTACATAAATCTATTAGGAATAGAAGTCCACAAGACATTCTTCTTGTGTAAATGTGTTTTTTTCTGTACGAATTCTATTAAAAATTTCATATTGGACAGCCAGAAATATATTCTTTTTTTTTCCACTTCCCTAATCCAGTAAAATACTGGAAAATCAGCAAATTGGCTCTCATTTTTTTTTTTTAGGATGATTTAAAGATGTCACCTCATTGGACCGAGTTCAGATGTGAGGAATGGAGTGGACATTGGCTGGAGAGATAAAAGGAGGAAAGAACTGATAAGGACATTTGAAGGAGATAAAGATTGAGACTGCTGCTATGTGGAAAAATATTTAAATGCACAAAAGAGATGGACTATTCTTTTCCATCCCTTTATTGCTGTCTTCATCACAAATTTAACAGATCCCAAATTAAAGACTTCAGATTCTTCTATGTTCACACATTATGTATAATATTGTAAAAATTATTTTCAGTTTATCCACAGATAAATTATGTTAAATATTTTACATGTCCGTACTTTTGCTAGTATTAAATCACATGTGTATGTAGTAGTTCAGATTTCAAATCATGATCTCTACATAGTCTTAAATACACTGTAATGGTCTCAATATAATTTTAGTTACTGTATAATATTGTATAATATTTCTTTATTGGACATAAAGTCATTTTCTTATTAGCATTATTATAAAAATAAACATTCTTACTCATAAACCTTTCTGTACTAACTTTATTATTATTATTACACAATAATATCAGAAAATTAGAAACAATAAATCAATACATATTTTAAAACTTTTGGCTTATTTTAATGTTTCTCAATTCTGGCTGCACATTAGACTTATTTCAAGATATTTTAAAAAATATTGGCACTAGGTCCACTATTAATTCTCCTGCTTTGATTGATCTGAAGTGAAATTCAAGTTTCTTTTATTTTTAAGTTTCCCATTCCTTCCTCTCTTCCTCTACTCTATTGGCCTCCCTTCTAAGGGATAGGGAAGTATTGAGGAATAAAATCTACCAAATCATGCTATGTCAAAATACAAATGTACATACACACACACACAATCATAATGCACTAATTAAAATAAGGGAGATCAATAGAGTAGAGCAAGCAGATCAAGGGAGGGGAGGGAAGGAAGGTACTTGGGAACGAGATTGATTAAATTATGTGCATTATTAATAAGGCATAAACAAAGTAT